TGCTCTCTCTCAGGAGATACTTTGTAGACACTTAATAAATATTAATTTACTTGGTAGACACTCAATAAAAAGTAAATTCCCCCAAATCACTTGCTAGACACTCAATAAATATTAATTTTTTTCCCCCTTCAGAGAATGAACACCACTTGAGTAGAAAAGATTCTTTGTTTGATAGGAGGCTAGTGAAGCAATATTGTTTTCTCTGCCCTCCACCTATATAAGGTAGAGAAAATACTTCCAGTAGGGTGAGGCACACTTCCAGAAGACTTGAGAAATTCTCAAACCAATTTGGCAAATCTGCAAGATTGAACCGGGTCACCACTGTTTCTTAAATCAACATACTCCTGTGCCCATGAAAAGGTTTTCATTTTCATATCCCAAAGGTTGCAATTTATGCTTTTATTATATGGTAAAAGAATAATAATAAAAACCATTCAACCCTCAACCTCAAGGTGAGGGCTTTGGTTGCCCCCTTGTGTTAACTCTTTAGAAATAAAAGTCTAAGTCTTTGGAAGTGAATGGAAGTGCACATAACCTATAACCTATAATCTAAATGCTGAACTGTCTTATAATGAGAGATGGGTTACTATGGAAACATGAAATAGGATGAGGTCAGTGACCTTTAGCACAGTTCCAAAGATGATATATATGACAATTTGCACAGGCCCATGGACTAGCTCTCAGGGTAAATAGGTATAAGGTCATTCTGTGTTTGTCCACATTCCCCCCACCTTCCATTTCCATCCATTCTCCACCTTCCCTTCCCTGCTTTGTGCCTGTGAGGCTGATCTTTGCTGACCAGAGCTCTTTGTAACTGCTTCTTGTTGGGTTTTGCCCAAGGAAGCCTCTGGTAGTATTGACCCTACATCCAGGCAATAGGGGCTCCATGGGCCTGATACTTAGAGAGCATCCTAATATAATAGACACACGCAAAAAGTAAACTTATTAAAGGATACATGGATACTTCTGTCACTTGGGAGAGAGAGCTACCATCTGTGTAGACATGTTTAGAATTTGAGGGGATTTGATGGTAGAGTCCTTACCAGGGAGAAAAGACTTGTTAAATCTTTCTTAATGTCAGGAATGCAGTAGGTTTTGGCATAATGCTACTAGTTTTCTAGTAGTTCTTGGTATCCATTTTCTTGCTTCTTTTTGTGTTCTAATTCATGTGCCAGAAGTACTTGTTATTTAATGTGGTATTTATAACAGTTTCACATAGTGACTGAGGAATATTACATGCCATTTATATGCAGTCTAGATGTCACTTGAGTGAAGCATAATACTAATTATTTTTGTTGTTAGAGACAGGGTCTCAGTGTTGCCCAGTTGGAGTGTAGTGGCATGATGACAGCTCACTGCAACCTTGAACTCCTGGGTTTAAGCGATTCCTCCACCTCAGCCTCCCCAAGTAGCTGGGACTACTGGCACACACTGCCATACACAGATAATTTTTTAAATTTTTCTGTAGAGATGGGGTCTCACTATGTATCCCAGGGTGGTCTGGTACTCTTGGCCTCAAGTGATCCTCCCACCTTAGCTGCCCAAAGCACTGGGATTACAGGTGTGAGCCACTGCACCCAGACCACCAATTATTTGGTAAAAACTTTCAAGACACATCCCAAAGGAACACCACTATAGTTCATTGTTTTGTTCTGTGGCCCCCCCTGGTTATTTAAATATGTGGCAATGTTGTTTAATGAGGTTATTTTGGGAAGCCAAAAATATATAAAAAGGAGACAAAAGTCAACTGACACAATTAATTGGAAACAATACATTTGAGAAGTCAACAGTAATAGAAATCATATGGGGCTGTTCATCTCTGCTTATCTCATCTTTTTCCATTGTTTTACAAATCTGAAGCTCTTGGGGTTTCAACTTGCAATCTTATATCCCTGCATGTCTAACTTATACATTCAATAATCACTCCTAATAATGAGCCTGGGCTTAGAGCGTGTGCTACTGCAGGCCCTGGCACTCCAGCATTGACCCACCTCAATTGCCACACAATAGTTCCTGAATTTGGCATTTTTTTCAAGTTGTCTCTGCTTTCCCAGTACCTCTGATTACATTGATTCCCTGAGTTGGCATTAGTGTCTTTAGGCACAACATGGCTTTGGTGAGGTTAATTAAAAACAACAATAAAAGAACATCTCTGTCTTCTTTTTTATTTAGTTTTGCTAGCCACCAGTGCTTTTTTGCTTCTCAGAAGAAAAAGGAAAGAGAAAATGAAAAAGAAAGCAGTGGCTATTGGGTTGGTCATTTTAACCCCTTAGCCTGCTCTTTCTTCAGGAAATAGACCCAACCTTCCCCATCCTCCCCTGTCAGTAAGAAAGGGGTAGAGACCAAGGAGGTGGGGTAGTTGGAATCACCTGACCCAAGCTAGACCAATCACAATTGGCTTCTGTTATGTACAACATGCCTAAGAAAATGGATAGGGAAGCTGAAATTTCTGATACTGCTTAGACTCTACAGAAGAACCCTAGAATTATCATAGAACTACAAGTCTAGATAATAGATCCAAATGGAGGAACATAAATATTTTCAGAATTTTTGTTTAAATGAGCTGCTGTCAGAGTAAACCTGTTCTATCCTTTAGAGTTGTTCTACTTCTAGCTAAAATGTTTTCCCTAATTCTTAGTTTAAATAATTTTTCCAAAATAGTTTTGAAAATTTAGTGCACTTTATGGACCATTCCCTGCCTTGTTCATCAGATGAACTTTCTGAAGTACGAGAGGGTACATTATTTCTTACTGGTCTAAGAGAAAAGACACTGCTAATTAATTTCAGATTTTAGTAAAAAAGAAGTTCAAAAAATCAACACTACTACATTGGGGATCAAATTTCAACATGAGTTTTGGTGAGGACAAACCAAACCATAGCACTACTCAAGACAAAAAGCATGTGTAGTGATGGATAATGACTCAATTTTAATTTTAAAAAATTCATGAAAACAGCTCATAAGCCCAAGGCAGGCATTTCTCACAACATTCACTAACATAATATAATTTGTTAGTCTATTTGCTTTGGCATTGTCGCACAGCATGGAGTTTTCATCCCACATTCTGGCAAAATTTGGGTAATGTAGAACCCACACTTAAGGCTGGGCATAGACTCTCGCTCACACTTTTTCATTTTTCCCTGTGCGTGATTCTGGCTTGCTCTTGGCAACTGCTCCTTCATAAACTCTTAGAGGAAGGTGATAATGTGAACCCAGAAATGCTGAAAATAGTTTGTAAGTCTAATGCCAGTAGTGCTTGTAGAACAAAGGGTCCCAGTTGCCTTTTAAGGGGGTTCGTCTCACTTCTCTTGAATCATGTCCACATCCAGAAATGTGGGAATGTTACAGTACAGGGCATCCTATTCCAGCAATTTCAGATTGCAAGCACTCTGACCACAATGTAATATAAAGAGTTTCTTTAAGAAAAAGGAGAAAGGAAACTCAATGGAAATTGTCCAGGTAGGAGGGGGAAGGAGGGGATGAGTGGAATCATACCTAATGGGTACAATGTACACCATCTGGGTGGTGGGCACACTTACAACTTTGACTCAAGCAGTACAAAAGCAATCCATGTAACCAAAACATTTGTACCCCTATAATATTCTGAAATTAAAAAAATTAATAAAATAGAATAAAAATCCTTTTTCACTTTATATCAGGGCTGCCTAATTCAAATATATAAATTCTCAAAATAAAATTTGTTTTGTTTCACTTCAAAAAAAAAAAGGGTAGGGTGTAATCTACAATAAGCTCAAAATAGGGCAAGATTGTCCACAAAGACTATAGTCAAAGGCCATTATATTTGTCTTTGTATTAATTAGGATATAAATAGAACAGCAAGGAACAGAGACCTGAGAAAATAGGGGTTTAAACAAGAAAGGATTTAATGTATCTATCACATAGAAGTTTCAAAAAAGTTCGTGGGTGAAATAGTAAGTATACTCTACCAAGTCCTTAATGATCCTGGCTCTTTCCAACTTTCATTACCCCTAGATAGTAGAGTGTGGATCCAAGATGGCTACTAAAGCTCTAGCTATTACATTTGTATTCCAGGCAGTAGCATGAAGGAGGGAAGAAAGCATAGAAAATATTGCAACATTTAGGTACAGGTATAAATATTAAAAAACGTGCTGGGTTTGTATATGGAAAACTATAAAACACCAATGAAAGAAACCAATGACCTAAATAAAAGGAGACATATACCATTTCATGATCCTACTGCCTTTCAGAAGATACTATATTTATAATTTGTTCCAAGTGATCATTTGGTTTTTTTTTTTTTGAGACAGAGTCTTACTTTGTTGCCCAGGCTAGAGTGAGTGCTGTGGTGTCAGCCTAGCTCACAGCAACCTCAAACTTCTGGGCTCAAGTGATTCTGTTGCCTCAGCCTCCCGAATAGCTGGGACTACAGGCATGCGCCACCATGCCCGGCTAATTTTTTCTATATATATTAGTTGGCCAATTAATTTCTTTCTATTTATAGTAGAGACGGGGTCTCACTGTTGCTCAGGCTGGTTTTGAACTCCTGACCTCGAGCAATCTGCCCGCCTCGGCCTCCCAGAGTGCTAGGATTATAGGCGATCATTTTAGTTTTATTTCCATTTGCTTACATAGCACATCTAATTGTCCTGTCCAGGTGGTCAGTTAACAGTTCATAATATCTAGACCAGATGAGCACATCTTCAAGTGTTAAGGCCTTGAAGATGTGTTTTAGTTTTAAAAAGAATTAAGATTTCCATAAACTCCACAGCAGCATATCCACTTTTCTAAAGCATTCCAAAAATTTGAAGGACAGAAGAATTTTCTGTTGCTACAAATATTAGAGAAAAAAAACACTGAAGAGCTTATGAACATTTTAAATGTAATTATATAAGAAATGCAAACCTAGAACTGCCTTTTCATGTAACTGTCATCTTAAAGACTTACAAGTCAGTATTTCAGATATTTTTCCAGAGAGTAGTTTGAGATACATAAAATGAAATAAATCAGTGGCTATACAAAATAAAATATTTTACACCTTTATTTACAAGTTAACTCATAAACCATATTAAACATGACCAAATTATAAAGAAAGTCCTTGGCTTCCATCCTTTGTGGCTAGAAAAATAAATTATCTAAATCTGCCTCCTGCTTCCAGAGAAATTAATGTATTACATATACACATTTTCAAATTGTCCCTAACCTTTACACAGACTCCAGAGTAGATACCGCTCTATTTTAACACAGAATTATAAACAGTCCTTTAAAAAAAGCTAGAGTAACTTTCTACTAGTTGGAACTAAACTTCGTAAACTATAAAAATTTTATAAATACTATAATCAAGGTAATTTGATTTAATAACAATAAATCTGTGGGAATATACAGTACAAATCTGTCAGTCATTCACAATTAGGTACAACAATTATTTTTGGAGAAATATTTTACTGTGGTCACAGTAAGATTTTATTTATATTCTTGAAAGCTAACTTTGTTCTCAATAACTATTCCTTCTACTATTTCTGTATACTTTAGGAGAACATATTCTTAGTCCAAAAAGAAACAATATCAAGTTATTTGACTTTTTGTTTTTTTCTTGCTTGAAACTGCTCTGTTTTGTTTTTTACAGATTTAATTAGCATTGACAAGGCTGGATCAATGGACTTCTTTTGTGATTCCTTTTGAACCTCACTCTCTTTTTGCTTTATTGCCTGAATAAGTTCTTGTTCTTTTTGTTCTCTTTGCCGGGCTTTCTCCTCAAGGATTTTTTCCATAGCCTTTGTTTTCTTGAAATTAGGATCTGAGGGATCCAAGTTGAACAAGTGGGAAGTATACATTGCCTGAAACCGTGCATCACCAACATTTACCTGCAAATCCAAAAGGATTAATAATTAGTAAATTAATTAAATAAAATAAATAAGCCTAAAGGCCCAGAAATGGGGCCAAATATACAAGGTTGGTGAATTGTTGATTATAAAAAATACAAACCTCAGTATTTGGATTGATTCATTACAAAACTGTTTTCCACAGATCTTCAGTGGAGTTTTAAGGCTCACCCGTGGACCACAATGTGCAGGACACACTGTTCTTATCATGCAATGACAATCTATTTGAAAGGAACTACAGTGGTCCATATATAACATGGCCTATAACTACAATGACCACTCAGACTGACTGACTCTACAGTCAGTGATTCCCATGGTAGGTCTTCCCAATACCAACAGCATGAAACCAATTTCAGGCCACCATAAACAAGCCAATCTGGACATCTCCTGCTGGAGCTTTATGCAAAATCTCTGCATTCTGAGTAAGTTTTAAGAAATTTTAACATTGGTGGCAAAAATAAGTAGCTACTGAGGATGACTCATAGATCAAGAGATTTAAAGACCACTATAGGAATGTATCCATCCCTGACCAAGGTCTGGTCAGACACAAGCCCTAAATTCATCTTCTATCTTTCTATAAAAATATTGTGGCTCCACATTTAAGAATGTACCCTTAATTCCAGCCCACCTTTCTGAGTGTTGCCAGGCACAGGGGTGACCGGCAAGAAGGGGAAATGTAGGAAGCATGAGCCCACCTGAAGATGGATTGTACCTTTATTTAGTTATAGTGAGGCCCGACAGAGGTGACACTGAGAACAATCACAAAAAAATACCCAAAAAAACTCATGAAAAATATTTCCACGTAGGATTATTAACGCATGAAGGCAGATCTTACAATAGAAGATATGACTACAAATCATCCTTTGTTTTTCATAAGGAAACCAGCTCACCCAAAACTTCAGTGGAACAGAAGCATATGTGAAACTGATTTATACAAACTGGAGCTACAGAGTGGCCTCAAAGCCCCTCTATGTGCTACTTAGAAGTTATCTGTATACTATCTTCCATACTTTGAATAAATTCCAAATTTCCCCTATAGTCTTTGGGGTTTGTTCTTTCAGGTTTATGGTTGAAAGTCAGTAAGTAGTTCCTAGTAACTGTAGGTTTTCTGTAGAGGGCTCAAACTCATGTAGGTTTTCTGTAGAGGGCTCAAACTCATGTGTAGGGACTCTGCAGCCATTAAGAATATACACTGTGTACTCAACAAAAGGAAGAAAAAGGAGGAGTGATGGTAATAAGAAACACTGCAATTATAAAGCATGGTCTACTGTGCTGGCCACTGTAAGCAGTGAGAGTGTGATCCAATGTGACACGAACCTGCTATTCATCAGTAGAACTTAATTAGGCATACCTTTCCCAGTGAGGATCATGCTACATGTAATTCTAACAGTAAAAACTACATATTTTTGGTGCAACAAGGCTACCAAAATACAAGTCAACTACTTTACCTGCTGCTCAACAAAAGAAACAGTGATTTAATCCATCCTGGGATGAAGTGGTTGTGCTGGACTAAAAGACGGTAGCTTTGGTTCTACCACTGGCCCTTCAAGAGATTTTCAAGGATAACTTTGACTATGCTCAATTTCTATCTGCAGAGCTTGACTTTAGATCAAATTCAGCTTTAAAAGGCTAATGACTTGTGTTTCTGGTTACCTCAAAGTCATCCTCTAATAATTCCTTCTTTTTCATGAGCTGTTTTTTCTTCTTTTTGCTCAGATTCTGGTGCTCAACAATCTTGTTGTAATTGAAGTGTTTCTTGCTGTCCTCCTCTTCATCCATCACGAGCAAAGCCATTTCAGCCTGTGGAGAGAAAAAACAAGTGTGAATATACAACAGTGTTTTCTTCCTCCCAAAGAGGAGGGTGGGGCACAGATATCCCTTACAGGAAAAGAGAACTCAATCACTAATGCTCCAGGAGATAACATCTCTCATGTGTAAACTGACTACGGATTACCAAAAACTCAAAGAAACCTAGAGATCTCTGTATAGCAATAAGGTAGAATCTCTGGAAGCAACATTACTAAGAGCAGGAGAGAGGTGAAAGCCTGTATTTAAAAACCAGACCACATCTCACTTAGTGTAACTGTTAGTAGGCTACAAGAACAAGAGTCTTCTAAAGTCCCTTCAAATAAAAATTTCTCATTCTCACTTTGCTCTTTCTAAGCAATGACACTAAACTTAGTGAAGCTTACTTTGTGATGCAAATTATACTTTTCAAGCATGTACTTTTTTTTCTTAAGTAGAATTTTCTAGTGCTGTAAATGTGTACTTCTAACAAGAAGATGATTTTCTTTTTTTACTTTTTCAATACTGACACATTTCTACGAAGGTAGGATCTCAGTATTTCCTTCTGAAATCTAGTATAATGTCTGTTTCCATTAAACAGGTATTTTCTATGGACCATGGAATTAAATGGGAAACCTCAAGAATTACATAAACAACCATGTAAACTAGTGGAAATAGGAAGTATGCTCCCAGACCTTTGTGAATTTTCCTATGTTACCACTTTAGACTGCCTTAATTTCTTTTTATTTCCATCACTGGCACTTGCAGTTGGCATTCTTTTTAGAGCTACTTTCCAAGAAGAAAGATTTTCTTTCTTGCTCTTTAAATAACTTTAGGAGCATTACTGTATATGCAATGAACGGAGAGCAGAGAATGCATTAAGATGCAGAGTTTAGGTGTCCAGTCAGGCTCACTCCTGGACAGCAATGTGAACATCAGCTATAGGGGAGTTGTTGTCTCCAATTCCTGCCTCCTCGGCAAAAATACATACGACTCTGAACCTATGGGTGACTGAATCATAAGGTTTACTGTATTTCCAAGGAAGACTGTAATTTTGTATATTAAATTTATGTTATTAACAATAATAAAAAGGGAAATGAAATTAGCATTTGACAAGCCATAATAGCAAAGTCTGTATTACAGGACAGATTCAGACTAAATTAAAACTTATGGCAATATTACTTTGAAATTTTAATAGCATTTTCTATCTCATTTATAGTAAGTGTTTTTAATAATGTGATATTTTCCTCTTAACCATAAAGGAAATACTCCTGGGTCTGAGGTAAATTTTAATTTTGTTATTAGTTGGAGAAATGCTTGGTAAATATTTGAAAATCATGCTGCTAAAATATTTAATTATGTCTGTTATAATTTATTTATAAATTCCATTGCTAAAATAAGTTTTCTTTTTTTAAAATTAGAAATACATGTAGACTTCATTTAAACTGTACAGCTCAATTATCCACTAAGCATGTAACAATGATCATGTTTTACCTTTTGTCTTTCTATCTCACTTTCTTCTTCTGGAGATAAGCCATCTTTTGCAGATTTTATTGATTTTTTCTTTGTACCTGGTGCAACAAACCAACATCAGAGGGTTAAAAATTACAGGATATCAGCAACAATCTATACTAGGAACAAAAATGCCAAGTATCTAGAAATAATCTTAACAATAAATGTGTCAAATCTAAAGGAAGAAAAATGTATTACTGAAAGAAGACTGTATATATGAATGGAATAAATAACAATGCTTCTGAATAGAATGACTATATATTATAAAGAAAGAATCTCTATCAAAAGTAATGTATAATTTACATTATCAACTAAAAAAGAAAAACCATATATCATTTCAACAGATATAGAAAAAGCATTTGATAAAATTTAACATCTACTCATGATAAAAGTAATATATACATTTAGTAAAATTCTGGGCTTCCCTGAATAGTGACTCCCATAACTGGTAAAACAGGGATCTGGAAGGTATGCCCAGGGGCTGTTAAAAAGGTACCAATTCCTACTTGGGATATGGGACTTCTAGGCCAGGATGACTACCGCATACTGTGTCTCCTTTCCTTGTACCCAAGCTGTATCGCTCAGTGGACTGCTGTGAGGATTCATTGAAGAGAAATACCCAGTACTGCCCTGCTACGTGACTACCTGTGAGTGAAGTGTGATTCACTGAAGCCTTTTAAATTTGACTGCCAAGTAGAGCCTAAGAAAATCCCCTGGTGTGCACTGGACCGCCCTAATCAAGTGATCTTTGGAACAATCTATATCCCTAAATATGATATAATATGAAAGATACAGCATTGCCTATGAAGTATTCTTGCCCAAACTGTTCAACATGAATCTAACTGAACTACTAGCTTAACTTTAATATTTGTTAATGGCAAATAGAGGAGACTGAGGGACAAGGAACAGACATACCTAGAAGGCAGGACAGTCCAAAAGATCACTGGCCTGGGTTTTTTTTTTTGAGACAGAGTCTCGCTTTGTTGCCCAGGCTAGAGTGAGTACTGTGGCCTAGCTCAAAGCAACCTCAAACTCCTGGGTTCAAGCAATCCTCCTGCCTCAGCCTCCCAAGTAGCCAGGACTACAGGCATGCGCTACCATGTCTGGCTAATTTTTTCTCTATATATTAGTTGGCCAATTAATTTCTTTCCATTTATAGTAGAGACGGGGTCTCACTCTTGCTCAGGCTGGTTTTGAACTCCTGACCTACAGCAATCCGCCTGCCTCAGCCTCCCAGAGTGCTAGGATTACAGGCGTGAGCCACTGAGCCCCGCCTGGCCTGGGTTTTTGAAAAGGCAAATATTATGGAGGAGGAGTATATATGATGTTTTTGAGACTATAGTGAACTAAAGAGACAATCTATTATTAAATATGTCTATTATATAGTAATATCTTATATAAAAATATCTTTATGATACACTATAAAAGTATATGCACATATAAAGCAAAATGTTAATTTCTGAAGACAGGTGATGTTCACTGTATTATTCTTTCAATTTTTTTGAATGTTTACAAATTTTCATATTAAAAACAAAAAATGGTTGTTACTATTATGACACTGATATCTGTCATATAAAGACCTCCTGTAAATTAAAATATTAACATTTGAAAACAGAGAAAAGAAAATTCAGACAAAAATAAGTGGTCAATAATCAGGAGAAAATTTTTTCATCCATCTCACAAATATTAACTGATCACTTAGTATGTTGTAAGCTCAGCCCCAGGTGCTGGTGATAAAAGCAGTTTATCTGAACAAGACAGTTAAAACTTTTTCTCTCATGGAGTGTATCTTCTAAAGGGTAAAGCAGGATAAAAGGACTGGAGATTGAATGGGGAGGCTGGTTTGGTTAGGGTATTTAAGGCAGGCCTCTCCAAGATGGTGACATAAACAATGACCTGGATAAAGTGAGAAGGCAAGATTTGAGAATGGCAGAAGAGTATTGCAGGAGAAGGGAATTATCAAGATTCAAAATGCAGCAGGAAGGCCAGTGGAGAAAAGGTGAAGAGGGTGGAAGAGGAGGTGAGGCAGGAAGATGGCAGACTTTCTCCCCTCTCCCAAAACTCACATAACTTTACCCTGATCTCAGCTGATAATCATATTTCCTATTTTGCTAAGAACACAGAAACAAACAAAAGTGAATTTAAACCAAATTTGTGCTGTGTAGTGCAGGATAATGGTTTTGGAGCTAGAATACTTGGGTTCAAATCCTAGTGTCACCATGGACTAACTGTGTGGCCTTAACTAGAGGGCTAACTTAACTTCTCTGTGCATCAATGTACTCAACCTATAACATGGAGATAACCCTACCTGCCACATAGGGCTGTTGTGTGCATCAAATGAAATAATATTGGTAGAATGCTTAGAACAGTGCCTGACACATAGTAATCCTGTGTAAGTGAGGACCATTATTTTTTGCATGGATGAACTGTCTATGCTACAATCTAAATCAATCCCCTGACTTGTATAATGGGTCTTATCTCCTCTTACCATCTCATGGACATTATTTCAGTAGTTTCTTCCCTGTATCATGTGATTTTCCCCTTTCTACAGGATCATTCACTTCAGTACGAACCTAATAGTGTCTCTCAAAAACAAGCAACCAGATGCTTCTACTTTTTATGTCTCAGTACAATCCATTCCCCTCTTAATAGCCAGGGAGATCTTTTAAAAATTTAGATTATCTGATTCCCCTTCTTAAAATTATTTAGTATATGGTGAGTTAATGGTTACAGATTTCTCCCATCTCAGTATGTGTAGTCCTTTGCAATGGCTCTGTCACTCCTTTTAACAGGTAAAGTCTGTTTCCCCACCCCTTGAATCTGAGATAATTTTCTGCCTTGCTTTTTGCTAAAGAATGTGATGGGGCCGGGCGTGGTGGCTCACGCCTATAATCCTAGCACTCTGGGAAGCCGAGGTGGATGGAATGCTCCAGGTCAGGAGTTCAAAACCAGGCTGAGCAAGACCCCATCTCTACCAAAAATAGAAAGAAATTAATTGACCAACTAAAAAAATATATATAGAAAAAATCAGCCAGGCATGGTGGTGCATGCCTGTAATCCCAGCTACTCAGGAGGCTGAGGCAGGAGGATCGCTTGAGCCCAGGAGATTGAGGTTGCTGTGAGCTAGGTTGATGCCACGGCACTCACTTTAGCCTGGGCAACAATGTGAGACTCTATCT